GTAAAATCCAATTGAAGTTATTTTGTAAACTATTCAAATTTTTCTAGAGATTTTCTTCACTTAAAAAATTAACTCTTTAATACAACTGGTGCTCTTTCTGCAATATGTTGTGAGGTGAATAATTCTGAGTGTTTTCCTCCAAACCATTTCCCAATCTTCCTTGAGATGCATTGAAATGGAATTTTGCTTTAGATGAGCCAGTATCATGGAAAGGGTCACCTCGTTCAAGATGCATTGTACTCATAATCTGATTTGTTGAATTGAAACTGCCCTATACAACTGCTCAAATAAAAGAATCAAAACAATAATGCTAGAAATGAATTAATGACAAAGTACTTTACTGTGTAAACCCTTCCACATTGGGTATATTCTGAATGAATATACTTCTTACATAGGCAACAGATTGAATCTAGATTTATATAGCAAGATATTGGTTTGTTATTTCCAAGTTATTACTCTGTGGTGATCTTAGGATCATGGTTATAACATTTTGTGTGTTTAATCAGTTGTTTTGATGGAATACAGGGATGGGTGCTTTTCTTCTTATTATCACATAAACATATTCTGAATTCAAATTTCCTGAAAATCTAGGCAGAGATGGTTCGTGAAAAAAATGGATCAACAACACTTTTAAAAATATTTTTGGTGGTTCTAGAATTTGAATTCAGAGTCTTCTTTGGCAAATGTGCTACCACTTGAGCCACACCTGCATCTTTCAATGACCCTTTTGATATGGCTCTTATTATGAATCTGAGTATACTCCTAAGGACTTTCTATTTAGTAATAGAAAGTTTAAAAATATGAGTTAAATCTGGGGAGTGTTAGTAACATTGACTATTCCTCCTCTAACACTTATTGTTGAAGCACCTCCAAGGAAACAGGACTTTCTACACAATATCTTCTGTGACTGATCATAGAATCTGAGTAGTTGGAGAAAAAGGAAGAAAATTGTGCTACCAAGTACTGCATCACTGTTCTTTCTAAACTATGAATTCTGTACAGCAAATAAAAGTCAGAAAGTGATAATGAACTTCTGTAAGCTGGGAAGATTTTACTTATTTTACTTAGTTTGTCTTTAAAATTAGAGAAGAAAAGCACAGGTTTGGGGCTTGAAAGAATGGAACTGTAGTCACATAGTGTCTTGTGAGTTGAGTACAATAAAAAGCATAAGTTAGATATGCATGTAACATTTTATAGTACAATATAAATCTTTTCCCTGAGAATATTGGGACTCTTATGAAAAATATTTCTGTCTTTGATAGCTAATAATTGTCAAGATCACAAATTTTATCATTTAATATATTATTTCATTCCATATGTTGTTTCTATTTTGTTGAATGTACCTTATTACATAAAGAGTTATTCTTCTAATGAATTTGTAACTATGTTCCTATGAACAAATAAATTAGAGTCATCCTTATTTAATATGTGATGGATTATAACCACAGTGATGCCTTGAACACTAGAGATAAAGGAGGGTATTGGCACTACTTTAGATTTTTGTCTACTTATCAGTACAGTGAAATACCTATAAACTCCAGTCTAAAACCATCAAACAAAATATTGTTGATATTAATATTCATGATGCTTTCTACAAGGAATAGTATCTGAAGATTTTATGTGAAAACTTTCTTTTTTTCTCTTTTTCTCAGTTTGGTTATTTCTTATTTATTGAAATAGTGATCCGTTCTTATTCTTCCTTATTTTTTCATGAGTATTGTATAAGAACCAGAATCATTGTTCATTCTTTTGCCTCCTTTCTTCTTTACAAAAATGATAATCTCATTTTATTCCATTCTACAAACTTATTCTTAGTAGGATTTATATGTAGGGTATGATGAGCTTGGGTACCTCATGTTCCTCAACTCTTCCCATGGAGCACTGAGGAGAGGGCTGTCTTGTCCACACTAAATTTAAATCACACATTATCCAAGCAATATTAGAGGCACATCACCTTCATCTCAATGGAGACACTGACAGACATTGATTAACCTAGATTAGTAAACAATAAGGATACAGCCTATCAGCTCCATGACTTTTCTGCCCTACCCATGGCTGAATATGTAGTTACTGATGGGAAAAAGAGCAAAAGATAATTTTAAAATATAGTATTTTCTTGAAGCCGGGTATGTTGGCTGAGCTATTTGAACTATACAGGAGAATCAAAGTATGAAGATAAAACAAGGCCCTGAGATTAAAAATGGACACACTCACACACACACACACACACACACACACACACACACACACACACACACACACACAACGAAATTGAATGCCTTCTTAACAATAAGCTTAAAAGACAATGTAGCAAATGGAATCCAAATCTCTTAACACAGAGGTCACTGGTTCCTCTAATATTCCTGGGCATTTCCAGTTAGTTGAAATATGAGAAGAATGAGATATTGATAAACAAATACTACTTGGCAATTTTAGCAAAAGTAAACAGCCTGGGTTTCTGGAGTAATAAAAACATTTATGAGTAGGAAACAAGTAAATAAAAATGTGTATGTGTGTATGTGTGCTTGTGCATGTACACATGTACACATGCATGCACATCTAAAAAAGGGTTTCAATTCAGCACCTTGCATTCCCATTTGATTTTGCTCAAGGCTGGTGCTGTACCATTTGAGCCAACTTTCCACTTCCGAAATTTATATTTTAATGGGAAGACTTGGGTAGTTTATTTCTGATAAAACCTTGGTAGTGTATTTGCAACAAAGTAAGAACAGTATAGTTGAACAAAAATTGAATCCGTTTGGGCATATAGAAAATTCACAAGAAAAATAAATATTTTTTCCTTAAGCATTTGAAAGACTTTTAGTGATTTGGAAGAATCTTTTCATCAAAATAATTGGCAGAATGGAATGACTTAGCTAAAGATATGAGGTTTGGGACAAGATGTGAATTTCTTCTTTTTTTATTGTGAAAATACTGTACAGAGGGGTTACAATTACATGGGCAAGATAATGAGTAAATTTCTTATCAAGCATTGTAGCCTCCTCCTTTGTTTCCCCTTCCCATCCCTTCCATCCTCCCCCTGCCCCCCCACCCAAACCTCCCTGCCCCCCTACCAAAGTTGTAAAGTTCGTTTTCGACATGATGTGAATTTCAAAGATAGCTATCATTTGTCATAAACATATGAATGACTTACAATCACTGTGTTTATATACTACAATTTACCCTTGAAATTTTCATATTTTGTCATATGTCATATGTCAAATATTTTTGGTATTTTAAATAAAGCATGAAAATGTTTACTTTTAGGAAGTCTCTGTGGAATACTCAAGAGAGGGAAATAAAATGAAAATTAATCTTATTTTGTAAGCCACAGACAGTGCCCTTAAATGCCAGTGTTTAAATAAACCTTGAAGACACTAATTAAAAAAGAAAACAATTCAATAAGATAGTTCAATATGGCTACTAAAAGCCAAGAAGGAAAGGAGAAAGGAAGGAATGGCGTGGCAGTCTATTACTTAATGTTGCTTGGACCTTGGGCCACAATGAGTATGTCAAACCAACCCAAAATAGTAAAGTACACAAAGCAGCTAAAATATTTCATTTCCTGAAGCAACCAGCTCTAAGAGTGAGAGGTAGGTAAGAGGTGTGATTGAAGTGTGAATATATATATATATATATACACACTCTCCTTACTCTACACACACTCACACATTCACACATGCATACACATATGCATGCAGAATTAACTGATTGGTCACAGAAAGAGCCCTTTACTTTGAAATTAAAATCACTTAAATAGCAATCCATGAAGCAGAAATATAACATTGCAAAATTGTTAGTTTAAATAGAAAATGTAGCTCTGAAGCCATCTCTGGCTTAAGCTAAATAGCTAAGGTAATCCAGGTAGCCATGAAGATACTCATGGTCATTGAATACAAGGAAATTTTGAAGAAAACTCTTATGCCTGAAATGTATCTGTAGAACTGGGTTACACTAGACCATTCTAAGATTTTTTTGCTTGTAATAACTTTCATACTGAGATCATACAACCAGTCTTGTGCTCTGTTTCTAGGTCTGTAATTCTGCTACCCTGCATATTTGTCAGATATATGGTTTAATAGGAAAATACCAGACTATCCGAAATGACTGTTGGACAAAAAGTGACTAGTGATACTATTATTTATCTCATATAACACATGCTTCTAAAACTAGAAGAAAGACAGTCTATAACCTCATCCTACTTACATCTTTTCTGCTAGGTTTTCTCCTTGAAAGCTGTAAAGAGAAGCAAAGAACAAGTTTTAGACTTGCTAAAGATGTTATCCAACTGTTGTCTAATTCAGTCCTGGTACTTAAGAATTTGTGTGATCTTGGGAAAGATTTGAGCTGCAATGAACTAGTTTTCTCATATATAAATTTTAGGAAGTAATAACACCTACCAACTACCTTAAGGTAGTTGGACAAGCCAATGCCATAATGCTTTCACAACATTTACAATACATGCCACACATAGTGTTTGAGGAATGTGGTTTGTTAAGATTATGTATCTATTAATAACAATTTCTCATCATGATAATTGCTGAAGTAACACAAGAGCGAGATATAATCATTTTATGTTGTTTTAATAAGGGTAGGTTTACCTTCATTTGAAAGCTTAAAGAATTTGATCATGAAACGTCAAAAACATTGAGAATTATTGTAATTTGTTTTCAGAAAACACATACACACATATTCTTTCCTAATACTACTTCTCACTTAGCTTTCTTGCTCACACTTGGTGTTATACCACTTGACCCAGGCATCCATTCTGACTTTTTACTGGTTCATTAGAAATGGAGTCTCTTGGAATTTTGCTGCCCAGTTTGGCTTCAAACGTCCTTATTTCAGACTTCAGCCTGCTAGGGAGTGAGGATTACAAGCATGAGCCACCAATGTCAGGCTAAGAGAGAAAATATTTTAAATACCCTTACAGCTTATAAGGTGATGTGACTTTCTTTTCAAGCTTGCCCCATATCTGAGCATGTTTCATTTGTTTTCAGTGACTGTTGACCCTACAAAGCCCACAGAAGTCACTGCTGCAGGAAGCAAGGGCGTGTCAGATCTCCAAGAGGTTGTCTCCTTGAAAGAGAGGATGGCAAGGTACCAGGCAGCTGTTTCCAGGAGTGACTGCCACAGCTTCTCAGCAAATGTAAGCTTCCCTTGAAGGTTGTAGATTTAGAAATCTGCTTGATGTCTGTGAAAACCCTCCATACTTTTTAAGACAAGATAGCTAGTAAGCAGTTTTTCGAGGTGAAAAACTAGTCGGAATTAAATTCAGACCACTTGAATTTAAGCTTCAGTTGCACTCCTTATAGGCTGCATGAACTTGACCTAATCTTAACACTCTCTAAGCATTAGGTTTTCTTAACCAAAAATGGGAATGATCATTTACTACATTAGATATTATCAAGGAGATATATGTGTAAGCCAGGAGTCACTGAATAAATGTGTTATGATTGTCCTCATTATCACTTAACCTATGGTGGGTCTCCTCAGAAAGGTTGGGAAATAATGTTAATAATATAGCTTTTCAGGCTGCCCTCCTTGGTCTCCCTATATGGTTCATTTAAATTCTCTGGCAGTACAATTTCTTTTGCTTTTCTCTGCTTTAAATCCATTAGGAGAGGCTTAATCAACATAGAAATGAGAGAGATTAGCAATGTAGGCACTCTGCTAAACCAATTATGATTGTAGGAAACTGCATGATTCAGTAAGACCACCAATTTTTTTAAGAGCCAACCCATAATAAAGTCATGTTCAATGGAATGCTCTTTTATAATTATAATCTCCAAGTTAGCCATATCCCCCCCCCTCTCTGGGTGTGTGATTATGTGTTGTAGGGCAAGAGCCTGAGACAGTGACAGGAGAGGATCCTAAAGGGTAGTATTTCAAAATAGCTACTGTACATTCTGCTTTACAAATTATTTAGAGACAAGACTGACTGCCAAACTCATTAACAACTCATTGCAACTCTAGATGACATTTACATTTTTACATAGTCATTAAAATATATTTTGGACACAGCATAAATTTGGAATGAATGCACCAGAGAGACAGAAGTAAACAGATCACTTCCAAAACAAATAGTAGCACTACAATACCTCCCACAACTCCTCTTGGAGAACACCCCCTGCTGGATCATTCAGGAATTGTATTATAAATTTGTTCTAAATTGTAGAAATGATTCTTGGGGAAGCAGCTGCTTTTTGAAATACCTAGAAACTGGTTATTGAACAAATAGCATTTTAATTAGGAAACCTAAGTCCTTTTTCATAGTTGGATAACACTTCATTACAAATGTGTAGCAGAGAATTTTTTATGTTTTTTTAATTTTACTTTTAATTTCTTATCTTTAGTTGTATTAAAAAGGTTTGGATTCAGAAGTCCAAATTAGGAGTCCAGTGCATCTTTATTTCTAAGGGGATAGAATGTTTAAACGAGGTATAGAAATGAATTAAAGAATACTATTGCACAGAACAGTTACTGGAATATTAATATGAAAACATATTAATATGTTTTCATATTAATATTGAGTAAAAATATTTTCAAATGGTATAAATTGATACTGTCTTTAGTCCAATAATATTTGAATTGGATTCAACTCCCTCTTCTCTGACCAAAAAAATACTTTCACCTTGGAAATAAAAGCATTATGACTATGTAATATGCCTAAATTTAGGTTAGGTGATAGATATTTTATTAACAACTTCTTGTTCTTGTTCTTGTTATTGTTATTACTATTATTACTGAAATACCCATTAGATTAATTTCAAAGCCAAAGAATAAGAAATACAAAATAGGGGGTGGGAATGAGCCTTCATGATACAGTGTTTGTCTAACATGCATGAAGTCCTTGGTTCCTCAGTACCACATGAACAGAAAAAGGCAGAAGTGGCACTGTGGCTCAAGTGGTAGAGTGCTAGCCTTGAGCAAAAGAGATTTAGAGACAGTGCCTAGGACCTGAGATCAAACCCCAGGACTGGAGAAAGAAAGAAAGAAGAAACAAAGGAGAGAGAGAAAGAAAGAGCGAGAGAGAGAAAGAAAGGAAAGAAAGATAGAAAGAGAAAGAAAGAAAGAAAGAAAGAAAGAAAGAAAGAAAGAAAGAAAGAAAGAAAGAAAGAAAGAAAGAAAGGAGAGAAAGAAAGAAAGGAAGGAAGAAAGGAGAGAAAGAGGTAGAGAAAGAGAGAAAGAGGGAGAGAAGGAAAGAGAGAAGGAAAGGAAGAAAGGGAGGGAGGGAAGGAGGAAGGAAGGGAGGAAGGAAGGAAGGAAGGAAGAAAGGAAGGAAGGAAGGAAGGAAGGAAGGAAGGAAGAAAGGAAGGAAAGGGGAAGGAGGGAGGGAGAGAAGAGGGAAGGAAGGAAGAGAGGAAGGCAGGAGGGGACTAAGGAAAGAAAAAAAGCAAGAAAGGGAGAGAGAGAAAGAAGAGAAGGAAGGGAGGGAGGGAGAGAGGAAGGAAAGAAGGAAGCAAGGAAGGCAGGCAGGCAGGCAAAGTAATATAAATCTGCAAAGGTTCAGAACGAAGCGCTCTTCATGAGCAGTCATTGATAACAGTGTGGTCCATTGCCATCTACATGCGCAGCCCTTCCTTCACAAGGTGAGCTGTACGAAGTCCTAGCACCGCCATTTCTCACATCTCACAAGTTTTGCCCACCTGGGTTGATGAGTTCTTGCAGCATGACTCAGTCATCCAGAGAGAATAAGGGTGAGATTAATATTGCAATGAAACCAATCAACTGTTTGCACTTTGTATATGTAATGTGGTTTGATTCTGAAGCACAATGCTAAAGAAAAATAATGGAAATATCTGGGTTTTTATATGTTTTGTGGACGAGGTGCAACCTGTTTAGTGTGGGCATTGGTATATTTATTAAAACAGACTTATTGAGAAAAATACATCGTCATTGTTATAATCACTGAAGTCTTCTAGATTAATTTTATATGATTTGTACGTTGTTTATAGTTGTTTGAAACAACAGGATTCTTAATCATTACTTTAACTTTTATAATTTATTACTTGCATACGATTTTCACATATTCTATTATGGAAGGTCATTTATGTAACACAAATGCTAGACAGAGGGAAAGAAAAATTGTGGCCTTAATTTATATTTTTTTTTGTTTTCTTCATACTTTCTCACCAGGCTTCGTTGTTCCATTTTTATGCATGTACAAAAAACTTCACCTTTATTTTCCCCATCAACTTCTCCTATTGGCAATACCCTGGCACAGGACCTGTTTATTTGTAACAATTTATTTGTGACAATTAGTTATACCTTTCTGCTCCTTTACTTAGTCTAAATTTCCAATGGGATTCCATATCTTCTTGTGCTCTTTTCATGTATCAAATGGAACTAATTGATCAGCGCTTGCACTAAACATTTCTTACAGAATTTGAGAAGATTTGTACCTGTTGTGTAGAAGTAGCTTTTCTTCCCATAGATCAATGTACATATTTTGAAATACGTGGTAGTCCACAGAAGTGGGCAAAGTTATTTCCTTGGCAATGCAAACTCTAAAGTATGTGCTAGTAATTCACATAATCCTGAATATGATTTCAGGGTACAATACTCTTGAGTACAGGAAACTCAAACAAATCCTAATGTAGATGTATTGTTAGTTACCTTCTTGAGAAAGAAATTTTTTGAGTGAAGATTCCGGGATCTTAAAAGTCAACAGCCCGTGGTATAGGGAGCTCAGCTCCAGTTATTTTCAAGGTCTCATGACTCCCTGGGTTATGTCAGGACTGGACTAAACCTCAAAAGTCCTGCTCTGGTTTCAAGTAGTGTTGAATCTCCTCTGGCTGCAAGCGAACTGGAAGCTCCTGACATGGAGTCTGTTTGCTTGAGTTTGTTTGCTTCTTTCCGTCTGGCTTGAATGCCTGTTGTGCTCTGGAGTATGTTAACTCATAAGTGCCAAAGCCCTGAGCAACTCTACTTTTGAAGGAGACATGAGATTCCACAGCACTTCTTGGTGCTTCCAATTTTGTGTAATGAAATCTGTTTTTTCAATCATAAAACTCCTAGGATGGATTAGAACTCATAGCTCAAGCTACCAATTTCTAGCTTGTTAGTAAACACATCTATAGTCTGAGACTTGCCAGTACTTGAGTCAGGTAGCTGCTGTTTCCATTGAAGTCTGTGATTAAGAGAAACATGTTTCAAATTTCAATTTCCACATTCTTATTTTAACTGTAAGAACTTAACAAGCTGTATTTGTAAACACCAGTTTTTTTAGTTTAAATTATGGATAATAGTGCTCATATCTCACAGAATAGTGAGAAACATTAACCAACATACTACATAGACATATGCATATCCACATATATATATATATATACATATAAATATGGATGTCAAACAGTACTGGGCCTATAGCAATTGTTACTGTTACCAAAATAAATATCTCAGCACAGGAAATATTCTGAATCTTTATATTTTGTTAATATTTAATAATAAAAATAAATTTTGAAGTAACTAAAATTATTTTAATACATTTTTCTTAATAATAAGTTACACAAATGCTGGTATTGATGACAACTTTATATTGAGTTAAAATTGAGTCCATTATTCTAGTATCCACAAGTCCACTCATATTTTATTAAGGGGATATAGTTTACTTGATCTAATCTCTGGAAATCAACATTTATCTGAAATAAGGAGTATTAACTCAACTATTTGAGGATTCTTCTGATCATATATGAAAAGACAAATAGTGCAGCAAAAAGTCTATTTTAGTAGGGTTTTCAGGAAAAGTCTACAGAAAATTGTATACATTTTAATATTTTACTATAAAACCAGTCTATAATTGCCAGCATTTATAAAATACAGCCCTAGAATCACATCCAACATGAATACAAGGCTGAAATTTCCTATTTCTTGAATTATCTTAGGTGATGGAAGAAGCAGAAATGTGCTCAGTGCCTGGTGGTTTGGCCACAGTGAAGAAACACTTTGAGGATGAAATGGCCTCATCCTGTAATGCCTTTTCTCAGTACCAACACCAACATCAGAGCAGATCTGAGCAGGTAATATCTGTGAGTCAGATAAATCATATATGGTAGATACTCCCCTTCTTTGGTGGTGAAGTTCTGTTAGTCATTTAAAATTCTGTTACTGGTTTAGGAAAGTATCTTGAGAGCATTTTGATTTCTTTTCTTGGTTTCTTGACTCAGAACATTTTGCTATATGAATGGTGCTTCAGTAACAGCCTTCAGTTTCTCATGTCTCATACACAAAAGAAAATTAAGTAACTTACATTGGTCAACACATCAACATGAACTTTAAGAGAAATATTTGTTATTGGTTCTCTGCTTCTAGGTCATAACAAATTATCTACTGGTTGTTTGCATAGATGAAACATGAAGCATTTTTAGCTGTTTATCATAGAGAGGGTTTTTATTTTCTTTAAAATCATCAAAAATTGATCAGTAGAATTAAGATGTTGTACAAAACCTTACAGTGCAGATTCTTTCTAAATGTTTTCATACATAGAATTTGTTTCCCATTCCATTCCTTCATTATCACATATCACCAAATATTTTCATAAAATATAAGGATTTTTAATGTGAGTTTGTAAGTGGTAAAGCTCATCAGATTAAGTTTGGCATGTGGAAAACACAATTTCACTATAAACAGCTGTATATAATCCAATGTTTTCCATGAGAAAGGAAATCATTCGTGTATGAAATTTTGTAATGGGAAATAAAAATGGGTGTGTTTTTATACAGGATATCTAGAGGGTCATCTAAATTGTAAATGATAAAGCAACTGAGTGCTAGGTATGGCAAGGGAGATGGTAATACAGCAAATAACATTTCATATGTGAATGATTGTGTTCTTGTTCTTGTTGTGTTGGAAATGTGAAAAAATGTTCAAAGTACCTAGCTTAATAAACATATGGCAATGTTTCTTTCTAATGTAACCTAAGGAATATCATAAAAATAAGAAATTAGGATTGGTATGCCTATAATCTGATATATAGTTGTTGCAACATGGGAATCTAAATGCATGGTATATAGATGTGTGAGTGAATTGGTCAACAATACGTAAATATCATGATGTTAAGACCTTAAAAGACCAATTCCCATAGAGGTCTAAGAATGCAACCAGACTTTATCTTCCAGGGCATGGGTGTGTAGACTTCTTGCAGTAGGGCCCAGTATAACTTTCCACTGTCTTTATCTTGAAATTATAACTATAATTATAATTCTCAATCTGGCAGATTCTGTAGCCTTATTTGGAAGCAGAGACAAAAGCTATAAGCCCTAAAATCTTCAGTTGTTTCAGATGAGTGAAGGAAACTGACTAGCATCCTACTTCTCTTAAGAAGTTATTGTAGAGAGAGTATGGCAGAGAACAATTTGTGATATGGCATCTAATTGTCTGAAAACTAATACTGCAAAAGACAGAAAAAATACAAACTAGCTTTAACCAAGAGAAACTTTATAATTCAGCAAAAATGCAACTTATGGAAATGGGGTTTGATTTAAGCTCCAATGGTATGTTAAAGCTGGCTTGTACCCACTCTCCAATTATTTAAAATTCAGAGAATTTTGCATACCAGATGAGAACCTGTTTTCCAAAGTCTTCAAGATCTCTTGTGCTGCTCATCCTATACAACTGCCTGAAAAATATTTATGTTTTGACATATAGTAATTAATATTAGTGTGAAAACATTTGTGTTGGATTCTCAACAATATTTATTTAATGTCAAAATTAGAAAACAATTCATGAGCTATAATAAGCCCAGTCTGCCTCTTTCCCTACTAATGTAATGGAAATCAAATGTTTCAGGGTAAGTTGGTAACAGTTTGGAGATCAGCAATTGGCATAAACCAGTTTGACAGTCAAGCTATATCTAAAATTTAACATCCCTTCTGTTTATCATGTATTAGATTGCTTTGTACCTCCTGAAAAATGATTCTGAAGTAGAAAAGGAGGTGCTGGAAAACATAGAAACATGCATTTACTCATGATATTTTAAACAGGATGATGTTTATATGTTCTAGTCTGGTCTTGCTTTATGATTCTGTGATCTGTTTAACAGTTAGCAGTTACACTAGAGGATTGTAAAATATCCCTATGAAAATTAGACAAGACAGCCACTCTGTGTCCCTGGGGAGGTAGGGAGGTGATGTGATTAATTCTGCTTCTTCAATAAATCAGGAAATCTTGAATAGGTTATCTACTGGTTAGTGCCAACAGTGTTTAGCATTACTGTTCTAGACTCACTAACATTACTGTTCCCAGTGTGTGTGAATGACTCCCAGATACCAGGCCCTCTTTCAGGGATTACAAACAAGTTTATCTCCTGTTGATATTTCATTTGAAATATGTTGTCAGCCTTGTTTTGTATTTTGTTTTAAGATGGAGTGTTCAGTGGTTCTATGCCAGTGAAAATCAGTCAACCTTCAATGCTAGACTGCAAGGGATGGTTTAAAGAAGGGTGTTATTTCCCCATTCACGTAGCATGGCACATTGCAAAGGAACATTCTAAATAATCCATTCTCTCAACCTCAAACGAATATCTCAAAATTTTACTGGAGCAGATGGTAGAATGAATGTACTATGCATGTGAACCTGAGTTCCTTCCACATGTTCTATGATTTCTGTCTAACATTTTAGAATTTCTTTCCTTTCTCTGCCTTTCCATGTTTATAAGCTTTCTAAGTTTCTAAATATAATTTGTATAATAAAATTTGCTCACTTTATAAGTATTATTCAATGATTGTTCTAAATACTTTCAAAGTAGCAATGTTCCAAGAATCTATTTTACAAGTATTGCTTAACTCCAAGAAGAAACTTTGGATCCCTTAACACTCTACAGTTTTTTGAGCTGTACTCTTATATTCAGGGTTTGGCTATCATCATTTTATGTTAATTTTCTCTTTATTTGCTTCCCTCATTTTTATGCAGCACTGAGTTATTTTTGCATTAACTATTGAGCCCTGGAAACCTCAACTTTTAGTCCAATTTTTTCCCTTTAAGTTGTTCAAGAAGGAAAGCACAGTTAGAGCTTCAAATATTTTGAAGTAATTCCTGTAAGCCAGGGCATAGAACACTAATTTTGGTGAAATTTCTACATTGAATCCATGTCAGTAGTTAAAAGCATCCCTCACCTTTACCCTGTTACCAACTCAGATTCATTGGGTGACAGGATGCATCTTTCAATCTATTTGTCCCATGGCAAAAATCCCAACATGAACATGTATACTCTGAAAGATTAGGTCGATTAGGAACTATCTGTGAACAATTTCAGCTCAGTGGAAGACAGTTTTGACAGCTTGTGACAGACATAATCTGACATCTGTATGTTTCAAATTCTTTAAAGGTGACCTGTAATTATTTTCTAGCAAACGAAATACATTTTTTATCACCTAAGTGTCCATCCAAATGGCAGCAGTGTTTGCCATATGTGCTTTAAAACTACCTTTAGCTTCTGCCGAATATAGAAATTTTCAAGGTCCTAAATTGCTATTAACAACTCTAACCTGACCTAGATCTCTGTCAACACACAAGGTTATGACCAAGTGTGTCTTTTATTGTCTTTTAATTATGTGCATTGTGTTTAAATGGTTATAATGACTTCCAGAATCCAAAATAAATTAGACTTGAGTAATGAATATGCCTTTAACCCTAGAGCCTAACTATCTGGGTTCTAATACTGAAAAAGCCATTTATCTCAGTCTGGGTTCTGTTGTTATAAAAGAATATCATAGATTGGGTAATTTATAACAATTAGAAATTTACTAACTCACAATTAGGGAGGTTAAGAATCCCAGGGGTCTAGGATATATCTCAGTGGCAAAGTGCTTGCCTGGCAAAATGCTTGCCTATCAAGTGAAGTGTCCTTGTCCGATCCTCAGTACCAAAAAAGAAAAGTCAAAAAAAAAAAAAAAGAATTCCAGGATCAATGTCTGGAAAGTCTCTTTTTGCCACATTATATTACTCATACAACATGAATACCAAAGTAGGGGAGGAGAGAGAGACAGAAAGAGGGAGAAAGAAAGAGGGGGAAAAGAGAGAGCGAGCAGAACAAGCCCAAGAAGTACAAACAAACCTCATTTATATGAGTGAGAAACTTATAACTTAAATACTCCTAAAATGTCCCATCCTCCCAAACCATTAAGCTGGCAATTAAATTGTAAATGAACTTTTGGAAGGGATGAATATTCAAATCATAACATTACTTACCCTTTCTAATAAAATGGGACAAAGTAAGAGAGCCATGTCCAGAATAAAAAGTCATTTCCTGAGCCAGGCACTAGTTAGTGTCTGATGACAAATCCAAGGTACTCAGGAAACTGAGATCAGAGAATTGTGGTTCGTGGCCTGCCCAGGCAGGAAAGTCCATGAGACTCTTATCTCCAATTAACTACCAAAAAAGCCACAACAAAAGCTGTGGCTGAGGTTGTAGAGTGCCAGCCTTGAGCAAAAATAATAAGGGATAGCACTAGTAACAGTCAGGTTGTGGTCTTTTCTAAATCACTTAATGTAATGCCTGACATATATTAATTGTTCAGTAAACATGGGCTATTGTCATCAGTAAGTGTTACATTAAAGCCAACGGGAGACATAACCAACTAGTAATTATTCTATAATTAGTATATGATTCACCAAGTATTTTTTTCCTGTGTGAAAAGACAAACAAACTGCCTCACACCCTAGTATTCTTTTAAATCCTTTCTCAATAATTTCTCAGGAGTGAGGTAAATAATTCAAAATAAGCTTAAAATGAGTTTTCTTGCATATGCTTTGGGCATGTGTTGTAGAGGAGTCAATGGCACTAATGAGTGCATATTTTTCAATGATAATAGCATGAGTGTAACCTCATGTACAATTGAAGATGAGCTGGACATCTCAGAAAGCTGAAAAGACCAATCTGCATAAAGTTGCTCTCTACAGGTATACCATATCCCCAAATGTCATCATGAAAGCCAGTTTGTGAAAAGAAAAGTAAATGAATAGCATAGCATTTGCTTTTGATGATCGCTTTATTCATACTATTGTTACAAGATGTACTGAA